ATTGCCGGATCATTTTCCTCAAACCAGTCCTGGTACTGTATATTCTTTCAATCTGGCCGTGGGTCTCTGCAAGTTTTTGTCATGATAGTGTCGTGAATAACCCATTCGGCACTGAGATTTGGGTTGTTTGTAGTTGGGTTGTTTATAAGCCCATGTTCAAGCTGCTCTCTGAAAGCATGTGCTACCGCTGGGTCCTGCAGACGCTTAGTGTTAAAACCTCTTCTGGAAGCTTGCTGACATCGCCGTTTTGGAGCAACGTGAAGTGAGAGCTTGGCTCTGACGAACCAATGATCAGTGTCGCAGTGGTCTGAGCCACGCATGGCACAGGTGATGAGGACATCTCAGCGATCTCTTTCTCTGACAATGATGTAGTCAATGAAATGCCAGTGTTTGGATCATGGGTGTTGCCATGAACCCTTGAACTTGTCGGTCTGCCTTAACAAGATATTGGTGATAGTGAGGTTTTGCGCAGCACACTTGCTGATGAGGAGTTGGCCATTGGGATTACACTTGCCTAGTCCATTTCTCCCTATGGTTCCCTGCCAAATGTCAGCATCTCTGCCAACTCTGGCATTGAAGTCACCAAGGAGCACAACCTTATGTTCTCTGGGGATAGAGGTTAGCCATCTGTCGAGGTCGGCGTAAAAGGCCTCCTTGATGTCATCCTCTGTCTCAAGCGTTGGGGCATATGCACTGATGAAAAAGGCATGATGTGAGTGATTCAGTGGGACTCGGAGCATCATGAGGAGCTCGTTGATCCCAATAGGCATTTCAGTAAGCCTGTGTAGGATGCGTTGGTGGATGGCAAAGCCATCTCCATAAATGCGGTTTCTCTCCGCAGCAGACTTACCCTTCCAGAAGAAGGTATAGCCAGACCCCCATTCTGTGAGTTGACCCTCATCTAGGAGCCAGGACTCACTATTGGCTGCTACGTCGATGTTATACCTAGCCAGCTCTTTTGACAAAAGGGCAGTTCTTCTTTCAGGATGCTCATTTGTGCCCATATCCAGAAGGGTACTGACTTTCTATGCAATGAGCATAAGAGGTTGTGTAGTTTGTTTTTGTTTGGATCTGTGAATTTGATTATGTTTTCGACTGCATAAACAATGGACCAGCAAAACAGCCTATCAGGCTATTTTGCAGTGACCAGTAATGTTCACAACAGCTGGTGACAGTGTTACAAACATCTAACCTCTTCACAGAAAACTGTGGCATTGTTACAAACACTAACCTAAACTAACCTAATATAAAATAAAAAAACCTAACCTACATAACTCAAAACATGAAGCATTTGTAAAAGAAACAGTTATCACCTATAGATAGATAGTAAAAGAGCACCATCTCTCTTTGCTGGGTCAAGATGCCATAATTTTCTGTATACAGTAATAGCCATTTTGGGGTACTGTATTTTCTTTCCTTGAAGTAATAAAGAAGTTATCTTAAATTAAAAATATTCTAAAAGTTTCCGGTTAACCTGCAATACAGTCAACCCTCGCTTTACGCGGTCCCACATTCCGCGTTTCCACGTTAACGCGGTGCCCTGCCAGAACCTAACGTGCTCACATTACGCGGTGCGTGAACCCCATTACGCGGAGAGTGTCCGGCGCGACGCCCTACCCGCATGCCTGCCTGTGCTCTCGCCTCTCCCTCCTCCTTCCTCCCTCCCTCCTCCCTCCTCCCTCCGCCTGGGCAAGCCGCGCGGTAGGGTTGCGCAGTGTGTGTCTTTGTTGCGTTATCACTGACGTCATATGACATATCGGACTGTGATTGGCCATGCATCCCTACCCCCCCTCTGCTGCTAGCTGTAATTGGCTTAAAGTATTATGACGTGTCCACCCAGGGGAGGGAGGGAGGAAAGACGATGCGTGACCTAGCCGCGCCTGTTTCATCCCTCCATGCCAGACCGTGTAAACGTGTATCCATTGTTCTGTAAAATGGCTTCCGCCGGACCACTGCCCCCAGAGAGAAACCTTTCCTTACCTAGACCCAGCGGCACTAAGCCAAAGAAGACACGACGTTCCTTAAGCTACGAGGTGAAGTACAAGATCATCCAAGAGTTGGAGAAAGGAACAAGGCAGGTTGATTTGGCGCGCCAGCATGGTGTGAATGAATCTACGATTCGAACAATAAAGAAGGATGCAGCCAAGATAAAGGAGCACATGAAGATCACAAAGTGCTTCTATGATCAAGTATTTTCACAACCAGGTGCTTCTCAAGACAGAAAAATTACTTGTGAGGTACTTGGTGCGTCAGGCGCGACGGAACATGGCGGTCGACACGCGCTCTGTTAAGGAGTACGCACGTGAACTGTACATTGCAGTGGCACGAAAGATGGGAATTACAGAGCCCAAACCCTTTAATGCTTCCTCTGGGTGGTTACAGAGGTTTAAGATCCGGAACAAGATCACCAATATAAACATTGGTGGTGAAGAAGCGAGTGCTGACCGTGCTGCGGCTAGGGAATTTCCTCCGTTTTTACGTGAGATTATGGAGGGAGGAGAGTACAGTGACGACCAGGTGTTTAACATGGACGAATCTGGTCTTTTCTGGAAAAAGCTACCTTCCAAGTCCTTCGTTGTAAAGAATGCCAGCAAGATTCGGGGCCGGAAGATGCAGAAGGAACGCATCACCGTCCTGTTTACCACCAATGCCTCCGGTACCAGTAAGCTCAAGTTATCGGTGATCCACACAGCACGCAAGCCGCACGCCTACAAGACCATGGACATGACCAAGCTAAATGTCCACTGGCTGACCGCACGTAAGGCGTGGATGTTCTCTGCACTGTCCCTCTCCTGGTTTGATGACTGTTTTGTTCCCGATGTAAAGAAATTCTGTGAGCGACAGAATGTGCCATTCAAGATTTTGTTGCTGCTGGACAACGCACCAGGACACTCGCCCCTACTGTTAGATCGTCACCCCAACGTAAAAGTGGTCTTCCTTCCTCCCAACACTACGTCTATATTACAGCCCATGGACCAAGAGTTAATCTGTAATGTAAAAGCTGCATTCTCTACGAAAAAATTCAAACTCCTGAACGACTACACCAACACCAGGGAAGAGTTGCGTAACCTGAGTGACACCACCACCGATAGCAAGAGCGAAGAAGATGAGGATCAACAGTTGGCACAGCAAAAAATACTGTTCAAACAATTCTGGAGAGTATTTAACATCAAGAAAGCTGTGGACTTCTTGGTGGAGTCATGGGATCAGCTGTCTATTGCTACAATTCGTCACGCATGGAGACATGTGTTGCATGGAATACCAGGTGAGAGGAGGAGTCAATCTGTGACTGGTGAGGTTCAGACTGTTGCAGTAGCAGTGGACCTTGCCAGAGAAGCTGCGCAGACTGTTACAGTTCCAGGCTTCTCCGAGACCACCAACGACGACATCATGGAGGTGATAATGGAACCTGATGTGACTACCGAGGAGATGGTACATGATGATGACGACGTCAGTGAAGAGGCAGGTGGTGCGTCATCCCAAGAAGAACAACACTTATCCCATAGTAATGTTAGGGGTGCCATCGAGTGTATCGAGAAAGCCAAGCTCCTCCTTTCCGACGACCCTGACGCAAACAGGTATGAAATCTTCACTACCCAGCTGTTGCAGACTATGGAGCCCTACATCAAGGTGTATCACAACAACATCAACACCAGCCGTCAGCAAAGCATAACAGATTTCTTCGCCCGCAACCCACCACAGCCAGCCCAAGCCAGTAATAGTGACAGTGAAGATGACTTTGAGGGATTTGTCAGGGAAGCCCTGACAACTGTAAGTGACAGTGATGGTGATGCACCTAGTAATGGTGATTCACCTGAGGGCCAGTAGCCTGCCCTCTGCCTCGGAACCAGCCTCCATCCCGTACGCCGACCCATCTCTTCTACTAACGTAAGTGTTCCACCCAACTTTTAGTTTTCCTAACCTAACCTTTATTTTTCCTATGTTAACCTTTATTTTTCCTAACCTAACCTCTTCTATATTACTTGTTTTTTCATACCATCATAAAGTTAAGATAAAATTTTTACTACAACATAGTTGCGTGTAGTCAAAAAGTGGAGTTTGGGGGTCGGCCCGGACTCTATTTCAATTAATCCCATATGTTATGTTATTCACTTTACGCGTTCCTCACATTCCGCGGGACCCTGCGGGTTACATTAACCGCGTAAAGTGAGGGTTGACTGTACTGTACTGTTCCATAGTATATTACCAGATAAATTTTGATGAATAACAAGCACTGATCACCTTAATAATTATGCAGTGGCTATTCTTATGTCAGCTGTAAGGAAAACACCAGGGCTATTCTTACGTTAGTCCAAAAAATGTAAAATTACACCTTGACACTTCAACTAATTCTATTACAGTATGACTGCATAGACTGAATATATATTACCAAAGACTGTCTGGAAATTTTTATTAGGCTCGGCTTGGATGGTTCCTGTTACATAAAATTACGGTGAATTTATAGTATCCACTGGTCTTTATGTATCTCGTAATGTCTACACAATTCTAAGACATTTTCTTCTATGATATTTCCACCGGAAATTAAGGATAACCGAGATATTAATTTCTCAAGATTATTACTTTCACTCAATCACAAGTGTCGCCATGGCGTGGTGGTCTGACCCCCTGCTCACGCATCGCTCCAGGCCTCCGACGGGGGGGTCCAGGGTTAGGTTAGGTTAGTTTTCTTGGTTGGTTGGTAATATAATTTATTTATTCTAAAAAAAAATCCAACTTTTTCCGTTATGAATGTTGGGATATCTAAAAAAAAAAACGTGATTTCCGGTGAAAATGAATATCAAATTCGTTCAAAGTTCATCAAAATACATAGGAAAAACCTATTTTTAATATCGAAATAAAAACCGGTGTGATACTATAAATTGACCTACAGCCTTCCTCCCTATACACCATGCCAAGATGAATTACAAGCGAGGCGAAGACTGAAAACTACTTGAATACTTTAATAATTATATCATCACAGGAATATTATGAAAACTTACATCACCCATCCATAATGCTCCCTCACGAGCCATGCTGGAAGTTATTACTGTGTTGGCTGGTTGAAACTATATGTCTTCATCAAGTTTGTTTGTTGTGGCGTCTGGATCACAGGTCCACAAGATGGCCAATGTTATGAATGAGTACCACGAACTTGGCCTATCTTTAATTTATTCAAGATGGATCATTTTAATGGCACCTATTCAATCCAAAACTAATATAATAATCATATGGTAATTTTTATTTTGTTTCACTGGTTTCCGTTGATTGAAAGATCCGTAGAGTAGCTGTTATATTCGTGGTTTCTTTTTAACACTAAGTTCTCAGGACCTCGTATTAAAATGGGAAGTGTGTCTCTAATGCCCACTTTTTGTTGATTTATCATTTCCACCACGTTAAGCCGTAACTTTTTTCCACCTTTCGTTTAAAATTACAAAAAATGATTAAATAGGTAAATAAGAAGCCTTGTGAATAATAAAAAATAGACGACAGAGTTGATCGTCCAGAAAGTCCTAATTAGCAATACGAAAAAAAAGCACAGGAGTACTTTTACTTTTATCCTCTTCGCCAGATATCGGCTCGTCAACCGCTTGGGCAGTGCTCTAATTATTTACAAAGATATAGTTCTCCTGTTTTATCGTTGTGAGGATCAAAGAGTTTCTTAGAGCTGTCTACAGTTTGTGGATTTATAACAAAGGCTGGCAGATTGTTTCAAGGATCCACAGCCCAACAAGTGAGGAACAATTTTATTTATCTTATTTATCTAATGGCCACTCAAACTAAAGGTGGCCATGCCAGTAAAATCCCCCCAGTGTTCTTGATAGTCACGTCAAGGGCCAATTTGAAGCCCAGTACTGTTCTCGATTCTACAGCTTGAGATGGTACAGTATACTCTGCCATCGATATAAACTATAATTATTTGCCCTCCCTGATGTTTTTGGCAAGCTTGAAAGTATGCCACCCTCGTTTTGGTGGTGCGTGAGAACTATGTAACAAGCTTGGGGAGCCCCTTAAGATTCTGTTCTGCAAATGCCTGGAAGAGCAAAAGGTCCCTGTAGGGTTTCGTGGTATAATGTTGTCTAGCACTCAGGATGGATGGAAACTCTAAGGTGGTTTCCTTGTATAATATAAGTTATATGGTAGACAGTCTGGTGCTGGAGGTGCCGTGTGGTGAGGAGCTGCTCAGTAGAGACGTTCGGTGAGTAGCGTGTTGAAGGAGGTAGATGTGCAGGAGCTTCGTTAGAGAAGATGTTGCCTGTTGCTGGCTTCCTGGTTGAATGAAAGCTGGACAGCGAGGAGCTTGCTGGAGGAGGTGTTGCGTGTTGAGGAACCGAGAGCAGAATGAGAGAGCTGGTCGGTGAGGACGCTCAGAGAAGGACAGCTGGTGGGTCGCCATGCTCGCCGGCGGGAGCGAGGACCGCCAGGCAGGCGAGGAGAAGCGAGGGCCGCCAGGCAGCGGCGGAGGAGGAGGTGTTGCTTGTTCAGGAAGATGGGCCAGAATGAATCTCAATGGAGAGACAGAGCTTATATACCCAGCAGCCGTGAGTCATCTATGAGTCATGTTGGGAAAACCCGAGAAGTAACCGGTCTTTGGCTCCGTTGCTAGGATACTGCGGCATCTGGTGACGCCCCCGCCTTGCCGCTAGTTTGGTTCCTAGGGAAGATGGTAGCAGCTGGTGTTTGCGGCTATGCAGTTGTAGTGGAGACGTCCACTACATCCCCAACAACTGGAAAATGGCTTATGTGAGTCCTATATTCAAGAAGGGCGATAGTCACTCCATGAATATTTATAGACCAGAGAGCCTGACCAGCAGTGTCCAAATACTAGAGAGCACTGTAAGCGATGCCATGATGGTGTAGCGTACTGTATGTGGCCAGTTGTCAATTCTCTTTGGTTGTCTATTATCTCTTTGTATGGGCTCACAAACGTACGTACAGTAAGATATCTCACACTCAGGAATGAGGTAGAATAGAAACTCACAATGTGTTTTCTGTATATATATTGTTGTACAGTGCAGTGCTAAGGAGTTACTAGGTGATGAGTAGTTTGCTCAGAGGTCCTGTTGGGCGAGGAGCTTTCTGAGGGAGCTGGTTGGTGAGGCGCTGTAGAGAGGTCTTGCTGGTCCAGTAGGTCAGAGTAGAATGGCCTCCCTGGAATGAATGAATATATGCTAGTGACAGGGGGGAAGGAGGTTCAGGGGAAGAATAAAGGGAGGATTGAAGTGAATTTTAGGAGGAGAGAACAGGTGCAGTGGCGAAACACCGCTTGCGTGAGGGAGTAGGCAATGTGCCTTGTAGGTGTAACAATCCCGATCAGGACGAGGCAGAGGGAGGGCGGGAGCAGGATCGGACAAGCAAAGGGCCAACGCGGGTGCTCTGGTTGTCGTCTTAGCTTAGGCAGTGTTGGCAAAGCGGAGGAAGAACCGCCCCGCCACGGCGGCGGCGCGAGCCGAGAAGCGTAGGTGGGCGGACACACAGGCAACACACGATCAAAGTAACAGAGAAGGTGAAAAAATGGAAATGTAGCTAGTCGTAGGGTTGTTTGGAGAAAGATGAAGGTAAAGTCTTTGAGCTATGTCAAAGAGGAACGGAGCGAGTTGGAGGAAGGGTTTTGAATCTTTGAGCTTGAAATTTCAAAGTATTCATAGTAAGGAAGGATGAGCGTATCGTAGGAGAATTTTTAGTAATAACAGGAGACAGATTTGAGCTTTTTTGTCAAATTATGAACGGAGACGAGAATGAGATATAGGTTGATTGGTTTCAGTCTTGAGTTAGGTCGATTTTATTGAGATTGGATGTCACAGACGTTGGGTATGTTTGATTTGGTTCTGAGAGTTGTGGGTCTTTGAGCTATGTCAGGGAGAAATGGAGAGTTGGAGGGAGAGTTTTGAATCTTTGAGCTTGAAGTGTCAAAGTATTCGTAGTAAGGAAGGATGAGTGTATCGTAGGAGAGTTTTTAGTAATAGCAGGAGACAGATTTGAGCTTTGTCAAATTGTGAACGGAGATGAGAGTGAGATATAGGTTGTTTGGCTTCAGTCTTGAGTTAGGTCGATTTTGTGGACAGTGGCTGTTATAGAAGTTGGGTATGTTTGATTTGGTTCTGGAGAGTTGTAGTATTATGAGAGGCTTTGTCTGGCAGGGGGGAGTTTGTGTTTGGGGATTGGCGGGGGTGGAAGTTGTATGTTGATTTGAGCTGAATTAGAATTGCTTAAGGGGTTGTTGTGTAAGTGTGTATGTGTTTTGTGTGTCATTATAGTAAGGGGAGAGGAGGAGGGTTAAGGATAATTGTTAGTAAGGTCAGGTATGGTTCAGTTGTTGGGAGGAGGGGGAGAGAGAGAGAGAGAGAGGGGGGCTTTGAGGTTGGGTTAATTTATAGTATGGTAGGATTTCTTAGGGGTGATATGATTTGTGTGGCTAATGAATAGTTGTATTGAGTCATATCTTTTTTTTTTTTAAGGGGGGTCGAAGGGGATTGTTAGAATGGTCGGGTATATTAAGTTTTTGTTTTGGGAGGATTGTAGGTGTTGATTAGTGGTTGGATAAGTTGAGTTAATATTGTTTTTTTTTTTTTTTGAGGGATTGTGAGTAAGATTGGGTGGGTTAAGTTTTTCTTTTGGGAGGAATGTAGGTTAATTAGTAGTTGGCAGAGTTGGGTTATTATTGCTTTCTTTCTTTCCTTTGGCTTGTAAAGGACTTCTGCAATTTGCGTGGAGGGCTTTTGCAGGTATTGTGAGTTCCTGATCCCATTCTTGAGGGAGAGGGTTTGTGTACAGGTACAATGCACCCCTCCCCGACCTTATTGGCTAAGGGAGGCGTTCATGTCATCTGTATGTTGGTACCATTCTTTATTAGGTACACCTCTCCGACCTTATTGGCTAAGGGAGGTGCCCATGTCAACAGTGTTGGTAACTTCCTTGAGGGAGAGGGCTTGTGTACAGGTACTTTTTACTTTTTTTTTACTTTTATCCTCTTCGCCACTGATCGGCTTGTTAGCCGCTTGGGCGATCGGTCACGTCTCTTTTCCTTTATATTCTTCACCAAAAGGTCGGCTCGCTAGCCGCCCGGGCGATCGGTCACGTCTCTGTCACGCACTGTTGGCAGGTACTGGGCATGCACCGGCTCCTGAATGTACCTGAACCCGCTCCAGTGTTGGTCAAGTCTTCTCTTGAAAGAGCTCACACTCGGTGCCGTCACAACACTCTGGTAGATTGTTCCAAGAGTTTACAACCCTCACTCCGAAAAAGTTTGCCCTCACGGTTTTCTGGACTTGCGGCTTCTTCAATCTTGAGCTGTGACCCCTTGTGGGGCGAGCGTCCGCCAGCTCCAAGTAAGGACACTCAACTGAGTAGTGCCCCCTGAGATGCTTATAAACCTCAACTAGGTCCCCCCTTGCCCGTCTGTAGTATAAGCTAGGCAAGTTCAGGCGCTCCAATCTCTCAGGGTAGCTGAGGTGCCGAAGTGCAGGCACCAGTTTGGTGGCCCTCCTTTGAACATTTTCAACCAACTGACAGTCCCTAGCATATCTCGGGGACCAGATGGGGTGACAGTACTCCAGATGTGGAAGCACTTCACTCCTGAAGATCGTCACGAGGGACGGACCGTCTAGATATCTGAACGACCTTCATATAAGACCCAATAATTTATTTGCCTGATTTACCTTTTTCTCGCAATGGCCCGAGAACTTCAGCTCATTGTCAACATACACACCTAGGTCCTTCTCACACACAGTCTCAACTAGTACATTTTCTTCATCCCGTTGGGACATATGGTACGCCTCCTTACCGTTGGTACGCCCCAGGTGCATCCTCTTACACTTCGTGACATTGAATCTCAGCAGCCATTCCTTCGACCATTCCTAGAGCCCACAGAGGTCCTTCTGCAGCTCTTCACAGTCAGCTTGGTTCTTAATTTCCCGAAATAACTTATCGTCATCGGCAAATATTTGTATGGAGGAGTGTACAACGTCAGGCATGTCATTTATGAAAGAAACAAACAACAGCGGGCCCAATACACTGCCCTGTGGTACCCCACTTGTGACAGGTATGGATGACGATTTCGTGCCATTAATCACCACACACTGCTTGCGGTCATGTAGAAAGTCTTTTATCCATGCTAGGACATTTCCCCGTATCCGTACTCTTCCAG